AGGAATTCGGCTACGATCCGTCTGGAGTGAAAGAGAGAAAAAGGATACTGCAATAAATTTGTCGACATGTTCACAAAGGACTTTTCACACACAAAGGGGTAAATCACAAAATGTGGGGAGAGTACATCCTAAACAATTCTTGCATAACTTTTTTATGACGGAGAGGAAACCACGGTAAGTCACGAGTGTCAGTCAAACCTCTGGTTTTTTTCTCCATACACGTTCAATTGACAAGGGCGGGCCACTTTTTGTTATGGTAATCAACATACGTCAGTAGGACTACTTAAGATAGAGACTTTTTCAAATTGCTTGAAGTACCGAGACAAACAGCAGGATTTGACAGACTGTTACCTGGGCACTGTTTACCAAACTGAACTCTGTAGTGATGACGCCATACTCTGCGCGTAGACCTTGAGCCTCTCACTGGCTCTACAGGAAAGTGCACAAAACAAAGTGTGACTTACTAAAACCTGCATTCTTTATAGCACAGATTCCTGTCGATTGACCTGTGAAGCTTGCACGTGCACGTGATCCAAGTAGAGAACTTTAAATAAAACAAGTTGCAATACTTTCCATTTGTTGTGGCTTTTATTTTACTGCACCAAACCATCAGAAACAAGAAGTGTTCTGAAAGGAACGAGGACGAACTTCTACTGTGGCCAGTTTCCATGATGTCCAGCGGGGATAACTTCTTGCAAGGAACTTGTGTTGCAATGTATTCCTTTGCGGTCGTCTCCCCATTGTGTCACCTCTATGACTGGCATTTGGTGATCCCGCATCATTGAGGAAAATGGGTCCTTAATCTGGTGTTTCTACATAAAATCACTTCAGTGTCTCCTCTTTCTCGACCCAAGCTTCTTAATACAGATGTTGTGAAATCACAGCATTACATGTACCATTTACAAAAATTAATATCATTTAGTCCACGATGATACCGAAAGCTCTTTCATTACGGAATCCTGTTACAAACTTGATTATTAAAGAAATACACATTTATTAAAATGAAGGAAAGATAAAAGGGCAGAGTGTGAAGTATAGAGCTTTTCCTGATTCCCAATCAACAGTGATGTAGTTAGCATCACTTTGCTCGGGCCTAGAAGGTGTGAAGTGTAATACTAAGGAAATTGGGGGAAAAGCATGGGTCTTATCTGTTACATAATGTCATTGCTAAAATAACAGAGACCAAAATCTAGGCCACATAGAAACTTAAGCATTTCCACAAAGTGATGAGCACAGAAAAAGAACCTCTTGAATCTGATTTCAAGCTGCTTTCTGATGCTCTTCAATGCACTTGCCGTGATGTAATACACCTCCCCACGTGCCCTATGGTTCTGACAACGGCACTAAATTTTCCTGGTCGTACAGACAAACTTAATTGGGGTAAGTTGTTGGACAGTGCTCTACCACTATTCCACTCTGTGTCATTTAAGGTACAGGTCTTCAGTCTGAGAGAGAGAGAGAGACACTAATGCCTGAATATTCATTTTTCATGGATGCTGGAACAAGGAGGGGGGCGGGATTTTTCGTCTATGTACCACTGTGGCCTTGGTTTGAACTGTGTTTGGGTTGACAAGTGTGATCCATTCTCATTGTCTTCCTGTTGTTTGAATAAATTTAAATTTTCAAACTGTAGATGAATCCTCCTATTGTTCCCAGCATCACTTTGTTGCATGACCACGGCCGACACACGTGAATCCAAAATGCGTCGTTGCTCTCTGCTGCCACCACAGGGCGCTGTGGGTAGGCACAGTCCCCGCGTCACTGGCTGAGTACTGAACACGTCAGGATGACCTGTTTATTTTTTAGCCTGCTACACTGCTACTGACGACAAGCAGTCATTGGGTCATCTTCAGCCATCTTCATCGCTGCTCCAGGTGTCCTCGGTAGCAGTCATAGTCTGCCCATAGAATGTGCGTCCCTTCTGAAGATGAAAATTGAAAACAGAAAAAGTTTGATGTTGAAAGAAGAGACTGAAAAAGAACAATAAAATAAAGACAGTTGCGAACAAAAAATGCAGTGAATTTCAGCTATGAAAAATTCAAAAGGGGAAAAGTCTTTTGATGCTAAACCACTGTGCATATAGTTGTGTATATGGTGACATTTTATTTCTCTTCAAAATAACTCTTAACATTTTTAATGAAGTTGACTCTACAGTATGGCTATTATGCCCCTCCTTTGGAATAGTGGGCGGTTCAGATAATTTTACCCTAACAGAATGATTCGAATGATATCATTATTAAAGAAACATATTTGGAGTTGATCTTTTTTCTCCATCCTTTCACCTTCTGTTTTTCTTCTTTCTCCTCTCCGAGATCCACCACCCTTCCTTCGTCCGGCTCCCAAAGGAGAATATTACTATCGTTACCCCCACTGTAGAGTTCCTGCAAACCAGAATGGAACGCAAAGTTGAATAATGAACGTCTAAAAGTGGCCCGTTCATGGCAAAATTGCCTCCTGTTCAGCTGAGATATGTTGGACAAAAAGGTGCCCTGCATCTTTTTCCTTCCAAAGCCAATGTCAAGATGACCTTCACATCTTGTTTTGACTGCCAATTTTGCATCTTTGAAAGCACAAGAAGTGATGTGACAACAGGCAAAAGTTTGCGGGTTATGGCCAAAGTTTGAGTGTTATGGCCAAAGTTTGAGTGTTATGGCAAAAGTTTGAGTGTTATGGCTGCTGGAGTATGAGGAGTTGCCAGAATGTGCCACTGGGCTCCTACACTGTGGTGGGTTCTAGAGACTTAGAGAAAGTTTCTTGGCAAACGGTCGGATAGAGTTGAGGTGGACAGCTCAATCCACCCTGGGTTGCAGTGAATCCTTGCAGGTTAACAAGAGAGAGGCTCAGGGAAGTTTTCCAAGTGGGCTCGTTCATGCTTAGAATGCACATGTGAAGACCTTACTTTCAAATAGAAATTACTTATGTGTGCCAGCACTTCCCGCACCAAACTCTCATGAACCTGTGGGCCTACGTGATGCATTCCCGCCAATGAACAATCACTGCTCAGCAAAAATAAGCCCTCTGTTGTTCCCACTTGGAGTGGGTAAAAGCCACCAAGTTAGTTCATAGATGGCTTGAAAGCAAACCATGAATTTGATGCTGTGATGAAACACTTGTAGCAAAACTTGTCAAGGCTGAATGACCTGAATTTTACAGCCCAAATCTTAACTGAAATGTCACAAATTAATTTTCATGTTCATTTTTTGTAGACTGTGAAACAGGCTGTACCTGAAATAGCGGATGGAAAACACAGCAGTTAACGTTGCTATAGTGACCCTTCAGATCATACACAAGCTCCCCATTGTGAAGGTCAAACACAGCCACGTCGGCCGTGTTGGGTACAAAGGCTGCGTCGGGCACCGCTCCTGACGAGATGGCAATTTTCACATTTTTTCGTCCGTCGTTTGTGACTTTGCCAAAATTGACCTGCATTTGCAGAGAAAAAACGACAATAAAACATTGAAGAAATTCTTCTAAAGTATAGAGTATAAATGCTAGCTTTGAGAAGGGGTAAAACACGGCATTAAATGTGACCTTCTTCGTCAGTCAAGTAAGATTCTTTTAATACTGATGTACATGCACTTTTCAATTCCTTTTATAAAACTTTATCATAGTTTACAGTGTTCCTTGAATTTTGAAAAACCACATTTGAATGAGATCTCTCTGAAATACATAAACCAGGAATCATTCTTCTAGAAACAAATGCTTCAGAGCTCATTTTATACTGCCCAAAATGACTCCCCCCAACCCAACATCTCAATCAGTGAATAATGTTGATGACGGGTACCATTTCACATTCATTGGTAGGTGACATTTACCAACGTGTTCTTGCCAGTTGCGACGTCCCACAGGCGGAGCCGATCATCGGTACCAAAGCTTAGGATGCGTAAGCCATCATCGGTGAAGCTCAGACCATTGACGTGTCCGCTGTGAGCTGTACGCACTGAAAAAATATTGAACGGAAGACATTACAAACTTAAAATTTATGAACAAATTCAATGCTTGCAATGTCGAAGTTTCATCGAAGACTATGTGGGGCAGTTCTTACCAGCGGCAGACGAATGGCCCACTGCTTCCCCATTGTGTTGGTCTAGGGCCATCAAGCAGGATTTGGCTCTACGGACGTCCCACAACAACAGTTTGTTGTCCTGACTGAGTTTGAGAAGATAAAACTTTTATGCAAGTGGAAAGTTATAATGGATGCAAAGGAATTGACTCCAACAGAATAAGCGTTGGTAACTTTCGCAACTATTCAGGATCACTCTTGGTAGCAACTGGTGGACACAAAACTCTGAACGTGTACACTTTCGGGGTTTTTCGTTCTGATCACTTTAGTGACAGACATACCTCCCCGATGCCAGGAGAAACTCCTGCTTGGGAGACCACTTGAGGCACATGACGGCTGCCCGATGACCCTTCAGGATGTGGGTGGCTGACCCGGTCTTGAGGTCACAAAGGGTGATGTGGGAACTCTGCGAGGCCACTGAAGGAGTGTTTGAAAAGGAACATGCAAACCACTCCCGGGTTTAGAATCTGATGTTCACGAATAGAGATGCCGAACTAAACATGTGACCAGATCAGAAAGTGAGCTTTAAATAAAGTTTTTCTGATACATTCAGCAGAAACAAGACACTTTTTATTCCTAACCCAAAACTACCATTCAGCTTGTGTTTGATTTTCTGGCTACTCACCTCCAATGAGGCAATGCTTGGTAGCAATGGGTGACATATTGTGGCTATAGATGGGCTTGTCCATGGTGAATGTCTCTGCTGGGACCAGGGCATTGGTGTCCCAGACTTTGAGCAGGCAGTCAGTGGAGCTACTCGTAAACATCCCGGTGTCATGGGGGTACCACTGAACTGTCTCCACGCTCCGCTTGTGGACATGCTTGTTTGACCTATGTACATACAACAAAGAGGGTATAAAATATTTGCACATAACTTTTCTAATCATATGTACGGTGCTCTAGCCACAGTGGGTGGCGACGGGCAACACCACCCGGTTCTGTAAATGTCCACCCAGCTCTTGCGTTCAAATTGGCTGTGCTACCCAGCACGGATTTTCCAAAAACTTAATGAAAATATTGCTGAAAATGTACCAATTTGATCATATTTCAAGCTTACAAAGTCGAAGTTTTGCACTATTTTGCAATTTTAAACAAGTAAAGACCTGAGAAATATATTTTTCATTTTCTTCGTGTCAAACCAGCTGCTGATTGCGAAAGCATTATTGTAAGCATGCCTTTATGATGACGTGGGGGAAATTCCTTCTGGGATTCCCCGAAAAAACCCAGCTATGGGCTGCGAGAGCTCTGCTCACTGCACTCGCTACGTTTGGTAATCCAAAAATTCACCCAGCATTAAAAATGGTCCCAGCTAGAATACTGCATATGTACACATTTATGCAGTGGGTTGAGCTGTTCCCTTCAAATGCACCTTAAAAAATGGCACATTGATACACATGTACAAAGTTGTCTCTTCTTCTTCCTAATGTAATGCTGTGCTCTTATCTACATGTGTTACACTCAACTCTTCTAAAGGTTCCTGGAAAATCCATCAAGTGTTTTTGGAGACCTTTGCAATATTGACGGAGGTGGTGTTTTGGAGTGTGGTCAAGTCGGTCACAGTTCCTCCAGTCTTACCAATCACAAGCTATTCAAATGAGCCTGTGACCAAAATCATTCCAGTCATCATCCTTTGTTACCGTCCTGTTTTTTTGACTTCAGCCCATGAGATTCCCTGTAGAAGTTTCACCCAAGAATGCCCAAAGGGTTAGGGCTACAAACCTTAACAATGTTAAATCAATTTTTGTGCGTCATTCACCTTCCCACTGTGCACACTGCTTCACAAGTAACTTCCTTCACTGCTGGTACTGCCTCAATATCAAACACAGCTATGACGCCCATAGATCCTCCAGACAGCAGGCTGTACAGTGAGGGAATTAACAGTATAAAAAACAATGGACTTTTTTATTTGGTGCTAAATATAAAGCGTGGACAACTTTTATACATACGTTGGGTGCGATCGGTTGAGCTATCGGTCTATCTTGCATGAAATCTCTAACTTCACTTCCCTTCTCCCTTTAGTATTAGGATAGCAGCTAGAATTATCAGGGAAGTGTTCAAGACAACTGACGGACAGCACAAAGATCAAGTGACAGTGCAGATCGACCGACTGAACCCATAACTGATACTCTCTACATCATTCAGCTTGGGCTTATTAAGCCTATTGTTGTCTGTAGTTTATCAGGAATTCTTGTCAAGGAAAGAGTTACATATATGAATTCCTCTTGACACCCTGCGCACAAACTTGATGGGACCGGTCTGAACAATTTTAAGTGTTTTGTATTAGTAAACGACTTGTTTCTTTCCCTCCGAAATTGAACTTTTCTGGACACATATTTACTTTCTGACGGCTATTAAGTCACTGAAGCTTGGAAGAATTACTGGCATCCGTATACGGAACTTTTTCCAATTTTAGTTTTATGCAAGGGGATTGTATACTTGAAGACCCCCAGTTTTTGACATTTTAACCTAGCAAAACTGGTAAGTCCCCCCCCAAAAAAAACAAAGGAAACACTCTCTTTATTACACTGACCTCCTTTTCTTGAAAATTTCATATTGTAAATTATGAGAAAATGTGACTTTCTTACTGATAACTAACCATGCAAATTTGAATCCACTATGTGTCATGTGTTGTTCCTTCCTCCATGGTTATAAAACTCGCAGTTTCCCCTCAAAATTTCCCTCAAAACTCAAAACCCTGCCCTTTTTTTACATTAACCCTACAGTTATGGAGCAAGATGTCACAGTCATCTACCATGGTGGATTTTAAAAGTTAAAATGTAGCTCTCCCTTGGAAAAGGGTCCCCAAATTTACAAAATCCCTTTGAAATTTCATGGTGTATTTATTTTATTCATTGTTTGATTTGTGTCTCACTGATCATGCTGATATCCAATACATGTAGGCCTATATTGTGAAACAAACAGTAGAAAAACTATGCCCGTAAAATCAGTAAAATGTTTATTGGAAATTAAAAGTCATGCCCCTTCGTCCTTACTATCTTCCTTCAGTAGGGTCGATGTCAAGTGTATTTATACCACTCTGATGGATTCGTTGCACATCTCTTCCTTTACTTAACTCCAGACAAAACGTTCGGCGCGTCACTTCAGCGCGAACCATCGACTCCGGTTTCCTGGTCCCATTTCGCCGACTTTCAAGAAAGCTCAACATTCTTATCCTAAAAGGCCAAACTAAAAACGCGACGCTAAACGATTCACAACAAAGTTGCCTAAAAGCCAAACGCTCAAGTTCATGACTGACACGACCAATTATTGCAACATAACCATGATAAAGTTGCAACACGAGTTCCCCGCAACTGAAACGAAAATTTACTTTCCATGGGCGCCGCCATGATGTCCTTTTTCAAGATTAATTTGAACTACACTAATTCAGCAAGGTTTTTATTTTGAAAAGAACCAAACTTTAGAAGTCAAAAATGTGATTTTAAGAAGTTATTTTAAACTATATCTTTACTTTTGATTGAATATGGAATTATTTGTTTCAAACTGTAGAGAAAAATTAAACATTTTTAACCAATGAACGACATTACGGCTGCGGCTAGAAAAAGCACATGAAAGAAGAGAAGCCACTAGCCAACGGCTGCCTATCACTTCCCACACAAGAATCCTACTTCCAGCCGCAGCCAGTTGATTCGAGCACTTCTGTGTATGTTGTATGCGTTGCGTAACTAGCTGAAGTTGAACTCAACGTTTGGTCCACAGTTCGCATCATCGTGGCTACTGGTTCCAGAAATGAATGTATTTAGAGCTCTTTTGAGGTTAGGTAGGACTAAAGTGCATGTAGGTACTGATCATCTGGGAAATAAATACTATGAAATTCCTGAAAAAGCAGCGATAACTTCCAAAGGTAGGTTTAAATCTCCCTGCGCATAGCCTAGGCCCCATCCTATACATTTCTTTTGCACCATCCATGCCATCGTGACCATGATGTATGCACTTACTGTATTCATTTTCCCGGCTACATTTGACGTTTTTGGACGTGTTGTCACTTTTGATGGCCAGTAAGTAATAATTCTGTCAGTGTCACAATCACAAATTGACAAATAGGCCTAGGCCTACTTGAGGCACTGACACACTGTTGACATGGTTGACATATTGAAAGCACTGCAAAATTGCAGGCATGGCACGAAATTGGCAGAGTGACGATTTATATTGATAGGCCCTACTACTAGTTTACGCACAGTACTACTTTTTCTTCCATGCTTCAGCTTTGATGGGGAAATGTGAGGGGGGGATTTATAGGGCCTATATTGGCAGGGAAACTGGACTTGTAGGGATTGGCCCACATGCGCTCCTTAAAAAACACTGAATAATGTGAAAATAAAAGAGTTTCTAATTTAACTATCTCCACAAAACAATTGTGCATTTGTTTTCTCCAGGAGGATACTTGAAAGCCAGGAGAACAGTAGAATCACCATATTCCCATGCAGAGTATGAGGAAGGAATGATCCCTTTGGAATGGGAAGGCATGTATTAGTCGGCAGATCCTGTAAATATTGATATAATTCTCAGAATTTTACTTTCTCCAGTCTCAAAAGGACTATACCTTCTGACAGCCACAGGAGAGGATTCTGTTGTACAATGACATTAAAATGCCAGAGTGACTCTTGAATGTGTCACTCCGAAGAAATCTGATCTCGCAAATTGTTGCAACTTGATTAGAAACAATCGGAACTCATTTACCTTGGAAATATCAAACTGCTGTGATAAATTTTAGTAACTCAGTTGAATTGAAGTTGGAAAGAAAGTGTTTGTGTCAATACGAGGAAGGATTTTGTTTTCAATTCATGTGTAGCATGGGTGAGGGGAAAACGAAACAACCCACCAACTCAGGAGGAGATCGATAAGAGAGAGCAGAAGACGCAATTGGTCAAGAAGAGAGCTCAGGAACTGGAACAGAAAGATCAAGAGGTGACGATAGCAACAATAGATGCATTGCAGATGTTTATTTGATCTGTGTATGCACGATTTTGCCTACATTAAGGAGTGAAGGCCTCTTGTCCACGAGTGGGTCCTTTACAATGTATGTATTTGGCCCCAGGCCGCATTCGACTCTGTCGTCTGGAGCTAGGTGCACGTGTGGGTCTTTGCACATTGCAAATATGCAGTACATTGACACACGTACTTGTTCCGTAGTTGTGGGGACAAACACAAGTTATTTCACCTATTTTGCGGGCACCAGAAAATATGGGGACAGAGAACTGTCCCCACAACTCGGTCCTAATTAGCTGTACAAAGGAAATTGTCCCCTTAACATGGGGATGGCCTGCCCAGCAGATATAGCCGTAGCTCTGGAAGCACGTCTTTCAAGATCCACCTGGGCACAATATGGGCGATTCACAATAGTGCGCCACAAAGAGTTGACAACACGTTGGCCAATCATAAGGTGCAAAATTTGTCGACCCTTTCCTAACGCGCATTGGGTCAACAAATTTCGCATATTGTGATTGGCCAACGCGCTGCAAACTCTTGGTGGTGCACGATTGTGAAACGCCGGTATTCTTTATAGCAGTGTAGGAAATTTCTGCACGTAGTGAAACCCTGCCAACACTCCGTAAACTCAGTTAACCAGTCATGAGAAATTTACATTTAAGGTTTTCTGACCAGCAAATGTTAAGTGTGCTTAAACTCTTTGCTTCTGAAGATGCAGTGGTTTACACTGTCACAGCCCTCTGGAGGACTGCGGAGGATTGCAAAAACGTTTCAAAAATGAGGGAATATTGTGTGGAGTATCTTGGGACGTGATCCTGGGCAAACTGACTTCCAATATTTTTTTAAGTTTCTTGAAGATTATAACAGAAAGTTGCTACGTCTGTGGTTTCTTCTTTACAGAGGCAGACAAAAGACTACGAAGAAGGACTTGTGGCAAAACCTGCACAGACAAAACAAATTGGTAACTGCTCACTTTGTTTATGGCAGTCACTCATAGAACACAGCATTCTGCAGTGTTTTAAGAACTTTCATCAGGGGATTAAGGGAGGGTGAGATGGAGGATTGTAATTAATACATGCATGATCCAACTGGAAGCACCCCTTCCCTTGTAAAGAGACGAGCTGGTGAGAAATATTTCAAGTTGGCACACATCACGATGCCAAGACCATACACTTCAACAGAAAATTGTCTTGAGTGTGTATCCCCCATCAAATGTGCATTGACTTGTGGCGTTTTTCCTCTCAAGGGATGCGGGCCAGAAGATAAAATTGCTTGTTCTAACTTGGAGCAGATTGTGCAGGTACTGGTGCGGTAAAGTCCACTGTTCAAAATTGACTGTGTTCATGTCCTTTATCACAGGCCATGCCTCAGCGCCAGTTTACGACAAGGTCGACTCAGCCGAGTCTGTCAGCACCGGCAAGGACTTTGAGCCCTCCGCATGGCAGCCTGGTCAGTCGACATCCAAAGTCAAATGAGACAGTCACACTTTTACCTAAGACCACGGTACAGAGTGTAGGAGTTCTTGTGAAGAACTGAACTGCATGCACTGGCGCTGCGACTTGCAAAAGGGAGAAATGTGCAGCAATAAGGAATGTGTAAATAGGTGCAGTGGAAGTCATCATTCACCAATGAATGGTTGGTATGACATAAGATTTCTGATGGAGGATACCGAAGAGCGGCCAGCAACATGTGAAGTCTGTGATGTAAGAAGACTCAGATATGTCAGAGTTGGCGTCATTCAGAGACCTTCACCTACGCTGAAAGTTGTGTTGGGTCAAAAATAAGCTTCAAAAGTGCCACAGTTTTTTCCCAACTGTGGAAATGTATGAAAAAGGACAGTTTGTCTTCCACAAGGCTTTACTATAGACTCATTTGGTACAGAGGCCCCTTTGATTCATATAAATGTTTTCTGTTGACATATGACAATGCCAAATAAACCAAGTACATTGTAGCTGATCTGACTGCTTTTGGGTATATCTGTGAAAACCTCTAAAGTACAAAGGGGACTCTTTGCAACCTGAGCCTGTCTTCTGTCAACAAGCATTTTGTAAATAATAAATTTAAATTAAAATGCACGTTGTACATAATGTGCACAGGTCCAAATGCACAAACGTGTAATTTAACAATTCAGTGATGCCACCTGCGTTGTTTTTTTTTTTTTTTCTTAACACAACTTAGGACCTGTAATCACCGTAAGTACATTTTGACAATGCACAGTGAATTGTATTTCTGGACGAATGAGAAATTTATTGAGGTTTTTGCATGCAGGCATGTACTAGAGGCATCCCACCCAAAACTGAGATTAGCAGACCCAGTGTTAATTCAACAAGCCAAATGTTGTCGACTGATTAAAAAAAAAAAAATTGCTTCAGAGTTCACTGTGCATCTTCCTTGTTCTCGTGGCCCAGCGCAGCAGGAAAGGAAGATAAACGAGTCTTGTACAGTACTTAGCCTGATGAAAGAGATACAATTCAACCTTGAGTAAACACTGGTGTCCAATAAACATGTACTTGTATAAGGTGCCGTTCCTTGGGACTGCACTCCACACATTGACAACGTGGCAACGGTTAAATATTACTGTTCCATCAGCACAACAATCTGACAGGAAATCCCAGACAACTGTATCCATCCATACTGGTGTCTTGAAAAGTTTAATTCCATTATCACAAACATACCATGCACCAAACCGAGCCACCAAAGTCTCCAGTGAAAACAGCCTTGATAACGGGAGAAGGAGGGAGGGCTTGATAAGGATATCAGATTTCAATTTAAAAAAATTCCACTACAAAATACATTCATTTGTTTTGGTTTGTCCGCTCTCCCTCCGAGGGGATGGGCAACTATCAACAAGGTGCTAGGGGGGTGAGTTTGGCACAAATTCTGGAACAAAGTCCCCACAAATACAGCAATCATGTTCAGGTTACTTCAACAAAGCAAAGGCAAACTATTGTCGATGCCATCTATTATATCGTCGTGTAACTTTTTGATAAGAATGCTCCCTTCAAAATGGTTTTAACTTTTCCTTTAAAAAAGAAAAAAGTGGTAAACAGGCCTGCTCAGAAACAATGGTCATTCATCGTGTCTGACCTCCAAAGGGTGTAAATTTTATATAAAACCCGTTGTAACAAAGAGAAAAAAAAATGGTCCTTAGCTGTGCACAAAAGAATGTTGGGAACCAGACTTCTGTAATTTTGTGCAGATTTGCGTGTCCACACTTCTTGACCTGTCGGCCATTCTAACATCGCATACCAACTAATTGCTTAATTCTACATACAATCAATCCGCTTCAGGAACTGAATACATTCAATACATGCTGAAATGTTCATTCAATCCATGCACCGAAGAGTGCTCGGCCCTAAAATCAAATTTTTCTCCCAAAGGAGGGGATTCCACCTTCAGAAGCAACTTAAAATTAACTCTGGCATTTGCAGGAGCATCATAATCAATGTATATTTGCCAATTCATTTTGAAAAGCCAAAAGGCTTTAAAATTGTCTATACACACCAAATACCAAGCATATTTACACATTGTAACTATTAAAACAGCGGAATGTTATCCAAATAATCTAAGAATTACTGCTGCCCTGAATAATCCAATTAATAAATATTGTACAAGCTTAAAAACAAAAACCAATACTAATTAAAATCAAATCCTACATAACAGGTATGGAACTGTCAAATAATCTTGTGCAAAATGGGACTAAATTGTGGGACAAATATTTCACTGCTTGGAAAGAGGACACGTAGGAGTATGTTGCAAATTACACCAAAAATCAAAACCATTAAAAATGTAAAAACATCGCCATCTTGTAAATGCATCCCCCACACTATTCACGTTTGCAGTCACTCAAAGACAGATGTGCGTGCACCATCACGTGAGTGAGTAGGCAATTAACCTCAATAGAGAGTTTAACACCGGAACAGTAAAACTTGTAAGAAACACATCATGGCAAATTGATTGGTAAGAAAAGGAAAACCTTCTGATTTTGGCATGCAAGGCTTATTGCTCAGCAACACAGAGGACTATTCATACATGTATAAATAAAAAATAAAAAAAAGACCCACAAAGTTACGCAGTGAGGGAGTGGTCTACAGGCAAGTTCAAATGATGTCTGATCTGAAGTTCACTGTAGTTTGACCAAAACAGCCTGCACGGTGGATAGTTTGGATCTTCTAGTTGACAATTTTGAACCAGGCCCTGTGGTATGGGTCGCACTGCTGGTTATCAGTAGCCAATGTGATGTTTTAAGTGTGGGGGGAGCTATTCACATGAATATTATTCTTTGAGATGTCATGTATTCTGCAAGAGCCACAGCCAAAGGCAAAATGTGAGTAACAGTGAGATTGTACTAAATTGTTTGACAAGGGCTACATCTGGTGGTCAAACGACAATTGCATCTGAACTTGCCCTAGGTTATAAATCGCATACACTGAATCATCAACTTCGACCCAATTAGGAAACTGTGCCCATGTGAAGCAAATGAGACCACCTAAACAAACTTAGCCCCTCGTTTGCACAAACACTGACCTAATATTGACAAAGACACAGGGTTCAAATTGTACGTCACGCAGCCTCAAATATACCTGTCCCCTTTTCATTCTTACACAAGCACTAAAACAACTGGAATTTTTTTCCTGAGAGTGAGATGAAAAATAGCTGGGTAGCAATTTCACCTGTAAATTTTAACTTAATTTGCAAATTTCTAATTGTTGCTGGATATCCATTTCGTCACAAGCCTACATGAACATGCTGAATACTTAAATGGGTCAACCAACAGACAGCAACTAAAGCACACAAATGCATGGTACAATCTTCTCGGTGCTGTAAACCATTCGTAATTTCTCCATTCGATAATTCAAAGTTACAAGTGATATCGAAAATGAGACATTGTTTTGACCAATGCTGGACTAAGATCCAGTGCACACGTGACAGAAGCCTTTCGGGGACAGATAGCTATGCACTAATGCCATAACCGCAGACTTCCCTGGGTTTGAAAAACCCTGTTTGTGGATTCTAGCTACCAAGACTGGAAATTTTAAATGACACGCTGAACAAAAAAACTTTCTCATTTCTTACTCTCACGCAGACAGGATGCGAATCACTGGGATATTGGCCAGAAATGAACAAGTGAATTCAGAAGAAATTAAAAAGGGGGGGGAGAGGAAACGGTGCCCCAACCAGTCAACTTTTGTGGCTTCAACAGCAAAGACTATCCCAGGAAATAAAAGTTTCCTGTCGCAAACCCAGTGTGATTAACACGTATTACATCGAGGAAAACTTGTAAAATGTCCATCATCCAGATTACAACAATAATACTCTCTCAAATTTCTAGAAAAATAGACTAACATTTTCTTTAACAAACCTAAACATTTCTTCTTTTTTCAATATTTGTGAAAGCACCACTCTAACTGTGGGCGTGTCTTCTCTGTACAGATTTCAAAAAGTATGGCATTTTACGAAATGGAAGAATTCTGTGATTGCCACGACGTGACCAAAAAACAAAAACAAAAAAACCAAAAAATGGAAAAAAGAGAGAGACAAATCTCATGGATATTTATCTACATACACACACTTGAACACCGATATCCGATTCATAAAAGTCTTGTTACCTAAACTGTACACATTCCAAAAATAGCATCTTTTGTGTAACACACAGAGTACTGCTACGTGTACGTAACAGTCCAATGGAGCAACACTCCTTCAAAATTGAAAAATTTTCTACGGGAAAAAAAAGAAAAAAAGAAGTAACAGTCTTTTGTCAGAAACATACGCAAACCGATTAAAATGCACGTGTGCTGTACATGCAGTCTGACAAGACAATATTAAACTTCCATTATCAAGGAGAAAAATGCATTCATAAAAATAGAAAATTACAGTGATTGAATACTAAAAAGGTTCATGAATAAAGGTATTAGCTGGGTGCTATAAAATTCCCCTAAAGTGGGAAAGAAACCTACTCGTTATATACACATACAAACGTGACATAAAATCCATTGAGACATACATGCGACGGTTGAAAACTCGAGCAGTCACTGTCTTGACTTTTTATAACTTCAACTATTAACTGGTTTAACTGGAAATGGCTGCAGCTACAAGTGTCAGATTGTCCTCGCTTGAAGTGCCAAACTGATTCTTCATGTGCATGTACCAGAATGATTAGATGTGCGATTTTTCAATTCGGGCCTCGAGCCTGGATGTCCAACCGCTCGCAGTGACATACACTGGAGCCAGCTTTTGGTTGGGAGAAGAATCTTAGATTCCTTGCTGCCTCAATTCATGAAAACAGTGACAACATGTGGCACTGAAGAACGTCCCCCTATTAGAAGTGGGTGTCGCTTATTTTTTAACGCCTGAAATGAAACCAGTTTATACACGTATGTCTTAACGTATTTAGTTTCAAATACAAATGTCTATTTCTATCAAAAACAAAATAATCGACCTTTGAAGGAAATTTGATAATTGAATCAAATAGTAAACATAAGAATATCTTAAATAAACTAAAAGCTACATCCGGACAAAAAAAGACATAAATTGTAATGCAAACAGAATGCATTCGACTGGACATTTCTCCCACCACAAACTATGATGAAAAAAGGCCGTAGCATGCCCGATGTAAGAACGGATCTCCAGAGGAACTGGTCTCTATGGTATGAATACGTGCTGGGTTCGGGGAATTCAAGCATCCGCCGGTGGGCCATTACCCTTTCAGTCTAAAGGAGATGACAATTTCCCTGGATGTTGTCGCACACCTTTAGATCTCAGGGTGGGGTATGGAGAAGACAAATCTCACAAGTGTGGGTTATACGGACTGAAACGATTCGGTCAGAAACCCTCAGTGTTAATTGCAGCTGTAGGCCTATAAGCACCTGTGCGAGCATTCCAAAGTGTGACCTACATGTGGGGTTTATGAAGAAGTCACCTGATGCTGCCTTGCCTGCATGACGACTTGTCCGGTGTATGCTCGCAAGGACACTGTCACCATGATTTAAATGATTCAGACCTTACAAACTTCAATGTGGGTAAGATTCTCAACGCCAAGCACAGGTCTATTGGAGACTCTGTGCACACACACACTGGACTGACAGCAGTGGGTACTCATTCTGTTGACAGCATACTGAGATAATCTCTCTCAAAGTATTCACTCAGTGCACGTTGTGGCCCTCTAGGGGCTGACGTGCGCACAGTCGCCACTGTAAGGGGTCAACAGGCCCCTGGGGATTGTCTGTTCTTCAGTGCTGGAGGAGATGCAGGCTGCATCTGCTAAAACCCACAAGGTGCCCGCAGGCAGCACTGTACAGCGCCCCCACACAACTGTGCACAGAGCGGATAAAGACGGGGCCAGTGGTCCACACCATGAGACCTGTTTGACTGTCGATCCAAAACAGTTCATCCTCAAACTCATGCACATGTTGTCAGAGAGTTCATGTCATTTTTCCTCTCTCCTTCCCTTCCATTCTTGGTGGCACGCCATGACGATTCCATCTCCAGGGCAAAATCCCTTTATAAATGCTTCCTGCACTGTCCGAGCAGCATTGCGGTAGCTCTCAGGGTGAAGGGCTAACTAATGGGGCACAGATGACCTAATAGTATGAATACGTTGACTTGTACGACTGCAAGAAAGACAAAAATTTGTTGAGTAGGGCAAACGAATAGAAAAACAAGCAAAAAACTTCCCCTTCCTTCCAGAAACGTGAAGATTCAAGCACACTAATGCAGACAGCAAAGTGGTGTTGATTGCACGATGCATTGTTTTCAATTTCAAAATGTAACCAAAATGAAATACAGACTTATGCTTCTCTAAGCAAACACTAACACCCAGCTCGTGAACATTTTACAAAGTCACTAAACAAACAATTTTGGATGGATTAAAGACATACTGATGAAAGAATTCAAACTGACATTTAGGTACATGGAATAGTAATGTTTTAGAGTAATAGAGAGCAGACAATGTAAATGGCAAAAGCAAACAAGAGAGATAGTGTTAGTAACTGCAACCATTAGCTTTTGATTACTGAAATTAGTAATCTTGTTGAATTCACAATGGCAGAGGGCAGCATGTACAGAAAGGAAACAGGGCAGATTGCTGATAGAAGTAGATGTAAGGAAAAAGGCCGGCAGGGTAGGAAATCTGGCGTGGCTTTGATAAACAGTTAGTTAAAGAACCTGAAAAAGACTTAACTCTGTACAGCCAGAGCTGTATCTTGGCACTGCACTGATTTCAGCCATGTGTAAAGCATGCCTGTCCAACTGACCCTCGCTCCCCCCCCCGTTAACCCCTGATCGATTAGCCCAGCGACATCCCTTGACTTTCAAACGCCAAGTAGTATTATTTCCAAAAAAGCAGAGCGATTAACTGCAGTGAATGCCACACACCAAGGAGAAAATTCCTCGAGCGCCATTTAAAGAGAGATTTGTTTTATTAGATGCCCTCCACAGAGATCTTTTCATGGTACCACAGACAAGCAACAGAACCTGGCAGAAGCCACCTTAATATATTCTCAATTCTTCACGTGAGATGAGGAAAACTGGTGAGCAGCAGAGAGAGAGAGAGAAATCTAAAAAAAACAAACCCAAAACAAACAAAACTGCTTGCAGCTCCCGGGTAAATTACGAAATCCTGGAGGGCTTCATGTGAGTAAAGAAGTAAGAGCTTATCCTGGCACAAATGAGTCCGACTTAGCTGCTTTCTGGTTGAGGTTAGCATGGGTAATTGTGCTTGGTAGTTTACTTGCCACCATGTCCAAAGGGTTTACTGAGTGCGTAATTATGATGGAGCTGTTTCTTATTGTATGTCAGAACTCAGAAGTCACAATAAAAAAGGTAGCTGCTTTTAAAACCTCTTCACTGTCAACGACCTTATGTTTGATGGGTTGGTGGAAGTGGTCATCAACAACCATGTGACCACAATCAAAGATGATATTGAATGGCTTTGCTGAGTTGAAATGGCAGTGAATGGCTCAATCAAGTGAGAGTGACTCTACCAATGCACTCTGTCCAACAAGTTAGTGACCGTCTCTGAAGTAGTGTTTCAGAGCTACAACTATGTCCATTAATGTGTTGCTGCTTATGTCAAATGTAAAGATCTATACTTAGATTCAGACAACAGGTCTGGATGCAGCCTACAACTGGATGGACTGCAGGTGCTTTGGAATACCATGTACACTTTACTCAGGGTACTATTCCATTGAGCTGCTAAGCAGAAAATACTACTATGCAAATTTAGATTGATGCTAAGCAAATAATGGCTGGATACCAGTGACAAGATTACACTGCATGACATTTTGGCAGGTAGCCTGTTTTTGCTAAGTGAATATTTTACGAGCTTAGTGAAATTTCTGTGCTCTGTAGCTCTATGAAATTGACACCTACTCTTTTAACTCATGCAAGCCAAATGCTCGTGATTCGGGAAATCCTCGAGCAAAGTCCTTCTTGCTGTACGACAAGCATGCATGAAGGAGGCAAAGTGCAATGCATACATGAACGTGTCTTAGCTGGAAAAGTTCGAGTGTCTTCCATTTGGGAAACTTTCCGGCTCAAGCTAATGCTTCAGAAAGTGCTGAAAAACCATCTCTGTGAAAGATTTCTGAGTCATTGAAAGCCAAGAAGACCAAGGTATGGGTGAAAAGTTAGGAGGCCAGCAGGTGCAGAAATTAGGCAGTGAACCCGGTGGATCAGCCGAAGGAGGTTGTGTCTGCTATGATGGGTATGGGGGTGTGTGCACACTGACTCACCGCCTACTGTCCTCAAACCTGTACATTTTATCATGTTCTGCATACAACTGCTGTATCATCTGCAAAATTAAGCCAAGACCAGAAAGAGATTTGGGGAGGGGGGATTGGAGGAGGGGTACACAGAAAACAATGTATTAAGACAAAAAACCAAAAGAACTGTGAATGGTAATGGTACGTAGACACAGCTTGGAGGGTTGTTGTCAGTGAGGCATGTGTTCACCTGCTGGCTAGACACGTTGGTGAAAGAATAAAGCCTTGTGATGTCATTACAATACCAAAAATCTTCAGGTCCAAGCTAATGTTGAACCTCTTGATTTTTAAGGAAGCCCCTCTCATGCTTATTACAATCCAACAAAGTTCACATGTGGGTCCCACATTCTACAGTGGGGTAAACTTCAGCCCAGGTTGGAACCAGGGTTCGCTAAAAGTTTCCATCCACAAAGCGAACTGAGAATTTTGGCAAAAACTGTGTACAAACCCGGTGCTGGTGTGAAGGGCTCTCGCCTTGCAGACCCATGGTCAACCCCACTGGGGTCTACTCTTGAGGAAATCAAGCTGATTTCACCTCCAGCAGCTGAGACAACAGTTTGAAGAAGTCTACACTTGTAAATGTAGTACACAAGGCCACCTGTGCAACTCCAGGGCTCATTAAAAGCTCACCTCTGGGCACACTTTCATGCTGTACATGATAAATATTCCTGTTCCGCATACATATGCGTGTATAAAATTTATGCACTCTACATGGACAACAACCCTCCAATCACTAATCAAGACAGCAATCAACACATTCACAGCTTCTAACACTACTGCAGACGAGGTTTTTTTAACATTAATGCAAATGCAAATTATGATTATTTAATCAGCTACAATGCATGAGAACACACCTGATGAATGATGCATGAAAAATATATCTCTTTGAATTATGCAAATGCAAACGAGTACAAAAATGTGCATGCAGAGACTACATAATTTACTGTCAGCAAATCTCTGCTAAAATTATGAAAGTGAAAAAGAGAATTTTGAAGTGAAGCAAGCAATCGAGGGTTAGTAATTTGAAACTGGAAGAAGAGTTAAGATTAGTTTGAGCAAATGCAAACTAACGCTGTTTTATTTTGTGCCAACTGTAAGAATAGTGGAGCAAAAAAGGAGAAGTAAAAACCTCACAACAGCATCAATTGTTTTTTTTTTTTTTTGCATTCATAGTTGGGAAAAAATTCCACGCCACCCAGCCTGTGTGATGCAAGTTGAAATTCTGTAACACTGTACTTCATTCATTTAAGGACTTTCAAAGCATAACTGATGTGGGTACTATAAGACGCCTAAAAAACAATTTTCATATGACCCTTAAAAAAGAACAGCTGACCAAAATGCTTCTCTTTATCTCGGCCTGCAAATCCATGCATGGCCTGTAAATTGGAAAGGGTAACACCGTAACTATCAAAACTTAAAAACGATTTCATATAAAACAAAACAAAAAAAGGGCCAATTTTAAAGTGACCATGAAACTGATCCAAATGAAAACAAAGAGTAAATTCACTGCACACAATCAGTTATGGACAACTAGCCCACTTGGCACTCGTAGAGAACACAGTGCCGTTTTAAAGTTAACACACACATGAATACTAAACACACGATACAAAGCAAGGGGGAAAAGTGACCAGACTAAGGTGTCAGCAAATGGGTCGAGGGGGATGGTGGCACTGGCCTCCAACTTACTGGCGTACTGGTAGATCGGGAGAGGTATTTCAGCGATGTTGGCAACGAGTAGTCGCCCGCGTTATGCCCTGTGCTATACTCTTTGTTAATCCTAGACGTGCTACAGAGAGCGGAGGAAGGGGAAGAGAGAGAGAAGGGAACCGGACTTGGGTTAAGAGGTTAACATGCAGTCAGGTCCTTGCGTGTTTGGAAAAAATAAAAACAAAACTACTATCTCCCCCCTGATAAGATCAGGTTATTGTTAAGTCAGATCTCACGGGGAAAAGGAACCATTTCAGTTACACTTTGATATGAACATTTGAAGTCATTCGAATTTTATATGGTATCCGTGTATGGTTGTGGTCTGTGGATCCCACTTCAAAAAAATGAAAAAACTTTTCCTCCAGGGCGAAAGAATTTTTAGTGTGATTAATCCATGCTCTGAAGTAGTAATGAAAAGACCTGGTTGGAAACCATACTGGAATCAGAACGAGGTAGGGCACCGGCAAGTTTTATACAGTACGAGACGCAGGCTGGGGTGGGGATTACAGGTAGGTATTCAGCCAGCTTGGAGAGGGATACATTGTAACCTTGACCAAGGCTGCATTCCTCAAGCCCCATGAGGGCACCAAAGAAGGCCACAGGTCTCCAACCTTACTTTACTGGGTTGCTTCGCTGCTTTCACCTCTTATTGATGCGCATCTGGCACAGTTAGTGAGTGAAAGTTTAGATTCTGCTGCTTTTAACGTCCATATTGACCATTTTGGTAACATGCGAGTGACGAGAATGAGCCATTTTTCGGATAGTGGTCCCTGAGGAGTTACTACTTCGATTTCACAGGGCACTGAATAGATTTTTTATGAGCAGACCCCTCTACATAGCTGTCTTGTTTCACAATGACATGACAGAAATTGAACAGGAGGTTGTCAGCTGAACTGGGATGATCTAAGATGGTTACATGGCCTGTAGCTGCATGGAGGTCATGTATTTAAATAGATCATCATGTTAACTGGTACATATTCATGTGATTGACTAACCCAGACAAGCAGCTTTGGCTATCCAGACGCTCACAAAAAGACTAGGTGGACAAATTCTAAACAGAATAAGCCACTAGCCTTGGTCAAGGCTACAAGAAAGCCAACTTCCCACTCTGAATAAATCTGTAACGTGTTATCATTCAGTTGTTTTATTGTGGGATATCATTCCAACTTTGTAACTTTCCCTGACTTCAAGATGCATTCACAATTCATGCCGGGGTTAACGGGTAATGTGCATTCTGTGCGCATGTACTCAAAACATACTTTGTGCTCAGATAAACCACCTGAAGTCTGGTGCCTGCCAGACTACCATGCCAAAGAAACGGTAGAGTCCAGGGTTGTAACTTGACAGTCACAATCCATGGCATGGCAAGAGCAAAAACCACAAATATGTGTGTACATGAACATTCATGTGGTTCCAAATTGAAGGACTAAAACAAGTGAGTAACGTAACATCTGAACTGCTGCCTGGGAAATCCGGAAAATTGAAGTTGTGATACATTTCTTGAGTGACTTGAAAAGAGTTTGTTCAAACCTACAATTCTACTGAACATACGATGCATGTCTGTGTGATTGTGAAGTACAATTACATGTAACTTTAATTACATGTATCCAGACTTCAGTTGCCTGATGAAGGCTAGCAGCACTAGCAGCCGAAACGTCGCTACCAGCAACACGACACCGCGAGTCATCGATTATCTTTTTTACTGTATTTGTCATCCACCGCGGTGATTATGTTTATCTCTTCTACATGTAACTTGTTTTCCAATACCAGTCAGACAGTTCCCAAAGAGAGACTATTGAAAAGTGTCGGTGACCCTGCACGTCACCGTTCCCTTCACCGCAGACCAGCGTTTCTCACCTCATTAGCGAAGCAAGGCATTGACAATATTTGTTGCATGGCATTTGTGCGTCAATGGTCACAGGCGCAGCGTACTATGAAATGTAAGAAGCAGGGCCAGTTTGGTATCCGCTCCGAGCCCAACAAAAGAGGGCCTGTTTTTGGGGTACTCACTGCATAGGCGCCCGTTTATAATGGAGATCAGTGGCGTGTTTGACTGGGAGCACGCTGAGTACGCGCAACGAATTTATTCCTTAATGTATGGTCGCTGCGTACACGCAGAATGCGTGCAAGAACTCGCTTGGAAAACGTACTACCACCTGTCTTTCTTTTGCCGCTTGGGGGCGCACGTCAATCTCAGGGCGGAATTCAGAAAGCAAAGTCATCCGGGACCAAAGCACGTGGGCGAGTCCGCATAGCGCTGCACCGATGGGACAGGCTCGCACACGCGTCTGAACATCCTTGGATGCGCTTCATGTTGGGCTTGCGCGTTGGAATACCAAACAGGCTCATTGCAGATGTCCCTATACCAATGCTTCCACCAATGTTTCTATTAACTCTGCAACATTTACATGTATGGTACTAATGCATTACTGTCGGCTACACACAAGACACCCCCATCCACCACCAGCATTTTGCTCAACATTTTATCTAAAACTATGCTTGGTAAAGGACAATCAAATGCACGATAGGGACTTTTCAATTACAACAGCCCTTATAAATCTCTCTCGTTGGGCCCCATCTTTGAAGGAAAATTGCAACTGTGAACGTAAAACAAACAGGTTCGTGTGCGCACGGAGTGCAAAATGTTCGAAACATGTTCAAAAACGTGCTACGCGCTGATCATGTTCACGTAATATGCTCCAAATACGGCACAAGCCGATGCGCGTCACAAAAATTGAAGTAAAAAATTCTGTGGCAATCCGTAAGAAGTGGCATCATTTGAGAGAGACCTATACACATATTCTGTGTGGCTGTCTCCATCAACAGAATGATGTAAACTGTGGAACGAGTCTTCAGCTCATCACCAAAAGTAAACCATTTCCAACATAATTTCCTTCCCGTAAAATACCCTTAATGTGCTGCATTAAGCAGGTCTTACCGTCGGATAGAGGACATGATTGTGCTGCATTATTTTGGCTTTTGAGACATCGCTCAGACCAATCCAAACAAGGATGACCATGCACAAAGGGAAGCACTCATAGCCCAGGTTGGACACTGATCTTCAGTACATTTCATAGTACGGTCAAGGAGTCCACCAGGGCTACAGGTGCACTCAGTCCCCTGGATGTAGTATCATGGAGCAGATATTTCTGGGACCCTCCCTTGTGTGCTCGGCAATTTCATGCTCGATTGGCCAACAGCTCTCAGTACAATGAGTACAGTGCACAGTTGATATTTTATGAAATGAGCTCATTCTCTTTTAGGCTACCAAGGTTTTTGCCCTTTTCTGTCTCAATTTACAGCTAGTTTACCTTTTGAGGGGAGAGCTGGCAGCTGCAGAGTGCCGTGTGCTGCGACGGGGCGCCGCACTGTGACTGGCTGCCGTGGCTGCCTTGGTAGCCTTCAGTGGAGAAGTGGCCATGGGACTGGATGACGTGGAGGCAATCCTAGAAAGAGTAGGACAGTGGAGGAAGGGCTTGTTAGACTTGACGTAAACATGACGGTTGTTTGTGATGATTCATGGTGGAATGCAATCTCAAGAGACATTTCAAGGATATTCAGACCACCACTGGTGCACCCAAGATCAACATGAAATAATCTGACACCACCTGTTGCTTTAATGGAAAAAGAAAAGATACATGCTCAGGCACACACAGGAAACAAAGTATCTATCTTTACAACGTGAATGATTAATGCTTTGAAAATAAGCAGGAAAGCAATATGATCGGAAATGAACACAGATTCAGGCAATTACATGTATGATGTTAACACAGAACTGATTCATTTTCACAGAATAAAACAAACATGTACATGCAATGAATTAAAAATAATCGTGTTCCCTGCTTGAGCCCTAATGCAAAAGAAAGACAAAACCTGGACTCATTTCCAGTTCTGGGGCATTGCACTACAAACTGCCAGCATGTAACTGCAGCAGATCACAGAGCAATGGACAGCTTGGAATGAATCCTGCTTTAGCAGGCCGGCCCGTGCAGGCATCTGAGAACTATTGAAGGTTGCATTATGTCAGTAAACCTTGAGGGTCAAAGCCTTGGCCTAGATGGCTCATGCCGTGGCCTTGGCTTGGGATGACTCAGCCTTAGCTCGGCAACCAGGCGCCTGTTTGATTCACACGGATCTGAATCTTAATCAGTGATCTTTATGGCCGGTTCGCACCATCCGTTAGGCGAGTTTTGGTGTCCACAAACCAACGACAGGTTGCGGGATTAGGATCCAGATTCACGTGAAACTAACACGGCCTAGAGCCAGCAGGGACTGCCATGCGATGTTATCACCAAAGATGTGACAAAGGATTCCGCAGATGCCTGAATGGTGGGTCACTGCATGGCTCCAATGTCAATCACAAACACATCCCCTGAACTCTTTCTATTCATTTCTAAGATGTACTTCTGGTAAGCTGCTATGTACACTGAGGTGAAGTGTATAGGGGCGGAGCAACGTAGCATCACACACACAAATAAAAAGGAAAAGAAAAAAACAAAAAGAAATTGAACCAAGCTGGACGATGGCACACTATACTCAACAGACATGCTGGGGGGTGTGTTGCTCCAAATAAAAACCATCAAGTTTCACTCATGCAGAATGTGGACCACTCAAAGAGTCAGGATCATTGATACCAACAGTCCCTCTGAGGGCCAGGCTGAAGGAGAGGCTGGACTGGCAAGTTATAAGCACATGAATGGAAAGTGTTGCTAACTACCGGTACACGGACAGTATACGTGTGACACAAAGGAGCCCTCGCTTTGCAAGGTTAGCCCTCACTCTGTTCCAATGCGTCTAATTTCTGATGACATCTCTTTAAGGTTGAATGAAATCTGTGTACATTTTGTTCGGGCCATCTGACAGTGGCACCGAGGCTAGCGTGAGGTTCTGCGGGGGGGGGTCATGACAAATGACAGTGCAGCCTTATGATAACTGCATGTGGATCCAGCATTGGTATCCAGGGATTCAGGAAAAGCTGTACCATGCCCAAAACTGAGCAATGACCCTAACTCTCTGATGATACTGGTGTTCGGAAAAACTGAAGTCACTCCCACACTCTTACTTTTTGCCGGACGCTTTAGTCCTGTGGCGTTAATCCCGTTGGGTGCGGTGGGAGACGGTGGATGGGGTGAAGGAATGAAAGAGAACAATTAGATTATGGCCAACGTGTGCTAGTAACGGGCTTTGATCAGCATCAAGGCATGCTCATGCGATGCAGACAAGAGCATTGGCTTAGAAAGTCGGGGTTTTGTTCCCCTTGCAATAAGATAATCATGTCAAACAGTGATAGAGTTTTTCAGGTGTGTGGTGAACTTTTCTGCTTCCAAAACGAGTCTGGTTCGGGCAAATCTGGCTCATCTGGCCGTATCTATCTCCAGCCTCAGATGTTTCCTTGGCCTGAAACGTCTGAGAAGTCGTGAGTCAAAAACCTTAACCACAGGGTGTGCCTTTATAGGAAGAGTATCATTTACACAGAGACAGATCAAGATATCGCAAGTCATCATTACTAGCCACACACAAGCTGATGAAACAAAGAACTACTAAGGCATTTGACTTCGTCGTAAATACCTGCGACCTGACAGAGACCTTACATGTATCTTGAGATTACATCTCTTTGCTTTGGAAATGTTATTTGCCCTGTTCCCACTCTCAAACATGCAAACAACGAAACAGCTATACTGTCCAGTCAAACTGAAGTAAAGAAGAAATCAAAAAAGCAAGCTCCTCAAAAATTTAAATGAACTCTGGCAAAATGCACTGCCGATCATTTCCCCCCCCCCAAAATCAAACTTTTCATCTGGCAGTCTATTTGCAGGATAGTGCCAGATGCAATTGGCTGTATAAACTGTACCAGTCACGTATGTATGTTTACCAATCACTGGCAAGTATTCTAAGGAAGCAAACCACCATTATGTCAGCCAAAGATACGAAGCAGGTACAATCATATTTCCATTTATGCATGGCACTTGTTAGGTTATCCTATCTATTCAAAAGGTTCAGAGTTTCTGTCAGAATGGGCCTTCTGCAGCAGACATGAAAACCTTGAGGGCTTCTTCAGGTCCTGTGTTCCATTCACATGAATAACAATGGACCTTTTGTTACTCCAGGGCAGTGATACAGGTCAGTGAATCTTTAAAATCTCAGCCAGAACAGAGGTCACTGCAGGTTAAACAATTTTTTTTTCCCACAAGGGCTCCCAACAAAAAAAGAAGCCAAAGCAGAAAAACGAACTCACTCCATTCACAGCACAACATGGAATGAAGTTAGTGCAGGAGGCAGGAAACTAAATCCAATTTCAACTTGACAGTAATGCATCGTAAAACACTCAACTCTGACAAGTAAGACATGACCATGCCAGCATCATGCATGACAAGGTTCAGGGGTGAGAATGGAGGCAAGTGAAATATCCATGAAATAATCACAAGACGGCTTAAGGGCCTTGTGGCAGTGTAGGGTCTATGTATAATGCACGTTTGTATTGACGTAAAGGTACCCTTTAAAATACCGGCACCTATTTTGTGGTGTGTCAATTTTTATATAAAAAAACCCAAATGATAAAGCAGGATTTTCCAAATTTTGAAAGAGATTGTTTGGAAAATTCTGAAGTCGGGAAAAACCTGATAACAGAAAAATCCTCAAATCAGGCAAAATATTGACAAGTCTCACCCCTGATTAGGTTCCAACACCATGCACAATCAATGTTTTTTCTTGCACAGTAGGACATGTGAAGGTACCCAATGGGCTGGAAAGCACGCCACCGTCTTTGACGATTGATTTTCTTTCATCACTGAGTGAGGGTAACTTGAACAAGGCCATGAACCCACGAGTGCTATTCCAGTGTTTCAGAAACATTTGGTTCAAGACCAACATGACTGATAACGGTATTACGGAATTCAAGCGGTTGTCCCTTTCTGGAAGGGGGATGAGGTGGTGGTTGTACACATTAGGGCACTTTTTTTTTTTAATTCAAATTTGGCCTGTGCTCCACCCAGCAGCACAAAGGAAACAGCATCATTCACACAGTCTGCGGCTAACGGAAAACGGATATGGAGCCACACAACTTGCATAATAATCAAAATGTAGTGGCTGCTATTCCAAGATTAGGCTGGTGACTTCATCAACTTGAAAGGAGCTTGGGCCGTGTCCGAAACGGGCTTCCAGAGCTACGGCCAGGTCTACTGTCTACGCGTCTCCACAAATTTCTAATGGAGTGAAGACCTAGACCTAGCTCTAGACAAGAGATTCAGATGCAGCCTTGTATTCAGTTCTCGATTTTGGGTATATATAACACTGTTAAGAGATGCCCAAAAATGCACTGTGCATGTAGATACAATTACATGTATATTTCTCCTTGCATCTACAACACATCTGTGGTACATGTACAGTACATAAACATGACAAGTTACATGACTGCATAACTCTGAATGTGCCAACACAATGCAATCCCACATGCAAGACTCACAGCTAAGCATGTTTCAAAACGTTACCTCAAGAAGTTTCTGAGGGCTTGGTTGCTACAAGTGACAAAGGTAAAGAGTACGGGTGTTTGAGTGGCTATTTACAAGTATTAAGAGTACTGACGACCTGTTTGGTAATGCATGACTGGTATGCGGACTGTCCGTGCATTAAAACAACATTCTCCAAGGAATGCTTTAGAATTAGTCACTCTGATGTATGTTGGTGAGCTCAAGCTCTGGATTCTGCTTATGGGCAAACTACGACCCTACGAACCAACCAGCGCGAACCTGCATGCGAAAGTGGTGTGCCGTCCCAGAAAGACGACAGGGCTGTACAAAAGCCCCTCAAAAATAAATCCCTTGCCTAGACACGGATCCTATCTGCCACGAGTTGCGGCGCGCCCTCACTGGCAAAGACATGGGCCAGTGGGAAGTATTTCAACCGGGCTTGTACACACACCCGACATGAGCGATGGCCATACATTCAACAGAAATTTGTTGCATGAATTAAGCCTGTCCTGTGCCAAATGCGTGTGAACCTGCACACTCAAGTGGTGAATTTCCACCAAAGGACCATCTCTGCAACGTAAAAGCACACCCGTTCTGGTTCCTGGGGATACACGACTACAGAGCTTAATTCTATGGAGCTACTTAGCAGAAGTGATCGCTCTCCAAATACCAACATGGAAATCTGCCACTAACAGGCACAACCACTCAGAAGGACTGATATCTTGTTTTCACCATGCAGAATGTTGCTCCACGCAGCCAATCCGTTTGGAAAAAGTCTCAAGGACAGGCATGTGTGCATTTCTCCTCCATTGCCTTTTGCCACACAGTTTATGGCTGAAATAACAGGTTTAATGGAAGCTCAGTGTACACTACATTTCTACAGAGGTAGGGCCAATGCAGGTTCTTTCGTAGAGGAGATAAAGTCAGTCTATCTATAAATTTCGAGTGATTCAACAATGACGATACATGTACCGTCAATTTAAATGCTTTGGTGGGTAGGTAAGTTTTATGGCTCATTTCCTGAAAGTCGATTGGATCATGTTAGCCTGTCACATGGGATGGCACAAATCATGGAAGTAATTTAAATGCAATGTTCAACAAGACGCAACACCCTCCCTTACCTGTGGGGTTGCGATGAGGATCTTGTGTGCATCTTGGCTTCTTCCAACCTGTACATAAACAATGATGTAAACATCTCAACCTGGTTTTTTTCACTGAAAAAAATGGAAAACTGAATGCGACAAAAGGATCAAGCCCCAAACTACCAGGCATTCGGCAAATTTTTGGGGGGAAAAGCATGAAAACACTGATGCAACACTTCAACAAGCAAGCCGCGGGCAGAAAAAATGTTGTACCTCAACAATAACCAAGGCATCAAATGTAAGACATTGCTGCTAATTAAAACCTAGGTAGTTCTTAATTCCGTGGCCTGGCTAATCACAGAACTCTCTGCTTATGATCCCTGTTCTATGTATTCTTAAGGCTCTTTCTCAGAAAATCTGCAGTTCATACCTCTTTGGATGTGGCATCTACTGAGGGACAGGGAGTCCACGCCGCAAGTCCCTAGGGTCAACATTCCTTTCCCACAACGAGTTTGACAAAGTAAACGCGGCTAATAGTTAGTGCACAATTCTCTCAAACAGAGAAACATTCTTTTCTGGTCAGCAAGGCCATAAAATTAAAACCATCTTTGCTGTGAACCATCCCAAATCCTCTAAAATGTACCGGGGGGGCCCAACTGTTTAAATCTCTGCACTAAACTGTCATGGGTCATCAAGTGTGCATTTGAAGTGACAGTGCCTGGGTTGCACTTTCCTATGTATTGCTCAATGTGCCAAAGAACTCTGGTTGGATTTCAGAGGATTAGGGAGGAGTTGCAATTAGTGTTGCTACAAACGCCCTGAACTGGTGATACCCTTTGGCCCTCCCCCATGCCCTCATGGCAACGCCCACATACTTCAGCGCTCCCGTCGTCGCTGACCGGGCTTTCCGCGAGCCCTTCAACTGTCTCAGCCTGTCTCCTTGGGTTAGCGAAGACGAGCCGTGCGACTTGGAACGTAATAAGTAAGGCTCATCCTGTGCCTCCTGAAATGTAATAACATTGGAGAGAATTCTTCAATTCACAAATGCCGCAGGACTCTGACACACAGCAACCAGCACAAACTGTCACAGTATAAAAAATTACAGAATTTCCAGACAAGAAATATGAACTAAATTGTGACGGGGCTATTTTATAAAAGCTTCCATGATTAGTAGGATGTGTAGTTAAGTTGTCTATGGTGTTGATTATTTGTCGCAAATGGTTAAATTTGATTACACAGTGGAGACTTCCTATAGAGCAAATCTTCACCATGTGATCAACCTAAAATTTCAAAACGTCAAAAATGAATCCTCATACTATAAAAAACAGGCAAAAGTTTACTTGCCTCACGTGTCCGGTCATTGTCTGTGATTGATATGTCATCAACTGCCCTGAGAATGTGTGAAACTCCCTGCTTGTAGCTCAGCTGTCCCTGCTTCTTCTTCGATCGGAAAATGTCTCCTTGAACCCACATGCTGGCTTGTTTCCTGGAAGGAGAGGGACAATCAATTAAGGAAACGTACAACGTCAAGTTTCTCTGCCACAACAGTGAAAAGCAAGACACTGATTATACAAACTTCCAAATGTTATAGTCTAATGATGCCACGCAAGGTCAGCATTTTCAGTATACTTTCAAACCCTTTGAGGGGAGTGAAAGCGAAGATGCTCATCGGATGCAGTTCTATTTTGAAAGTGTAGGAGGCGAGCTTGGTAAATCCTTCAAATAGGGCAGCTTTGAGAGTCTGACGTTCAGACAATGTCCTTCAAAAATTTCTCAGACTGAAACTTAACTGGATGCTGGGGGGGAACTTTAGGGTTATTCTGGAAAAAAGAAAGACATCGCTCTAATAACTTGTACAGATTTCGCTATGTCCGATAAAATCTTGGGATATATAAATTTTTAAAATGGGATTTTTTCCCCCTCTTTTGAGGAGGGCAATAGGCCTCTCGCTTCCACGATAGAAAAGCCTTTCTTGCTAATGAAA